AATCGAAACTTGAATACGAACTAGACAAAGAACTTCTTTTAACTAAGAAAAAAAACAAAAAGGACAAAAACACTTGTGTTTGGGGTTTGTGTGATTATGGTTTTAAGATGAGATTTGAAAGAGAAATGAGAGATGGTAATAAGAATAGAGAGACGAGAAAGAAGAAAGAGAGTAATTAGTGTTGATGGTGAATGCTTGTGGGTTTAGGCAATGATGCACATTTGGCATAAGGAGGCTTTTGTGGGGTTTCCTTGTCTCTTTTCAAGTTTAGGCTTGCATTAAAGAAAATTTTGAGTTCGTATCGGATCTTTAAACAAATAATAGAGAAGATGATCCAGTTGAGCACTCTATATTATATCAGAAAAACTCTAGCTCGAATCATTTACCCTAACACTATATTAAAAATTCGAGTTAGTTAGTAACAGCCAATTAATTTTCAAAAAGAAACCTATAAATCTTGACAGTAAGTAACGTTAGCTTACAGGCCAACTACTTGAACGTCCTTTTATCATCTTTCTCTGAAAGTTTTAAATTTATATAAATCAGTCATGTAGATTATTGATTTCATGGCTAAGATATCAGCTTATACTTTAGTCTAAAAGTTATCGAATATCTATGATTGATTTACCTAAAAACTATATAAAAAAAAATCGAAAGCATCACTAGTAAATGACTAAGCTGCATCAACATTTCAATTTCTAGCTGTACACCAAGAGAACTTTTGATTTCTTTTGTTTGTATGTTACACTATATACACATGTGTCAGTATGTATGCAGAATACTAAATATAGTAACTGTATACACAGATACTTCATATAAACACAACATACTAAATATAGTATTATATACACAAATAAAAAGATGACGATGTTATGCATTGGGCCATAATTGGTAATCATAACAGCTAACAAAGAATGTTGAGGCGTGGCTTTGGAATGAATTATCATTATGATGTTTCCATTAGCACTTGTATCACTTTTATTCGTCTCTCCACCCTGTAATTTTCACCTTTCTTAACAATTCAAACATCTTTTAACCTGTTCTTCGTTTCTTTTCAATTACGATCCCTGAACAATTGAAAAACTATGGGACCGAACTTTATTTCAAATAAAGCCAAGTCGTCGAGGGCGAAAAGTTATGGCGCCACGTACCGACGTACGGCCATCTGATATACACGTAAGCAGGGGCGGATCTAGAAAAAATATATAACATGGTCAAAATTTGGGAACTTATAATTATTGGGTCAAAACCATTAAAAATTAACCAAATAATCAATTTATATTACAATTATATACCTAAATTCAATAAAATTTTAAAATTAGTTGGGGTCATTTGACCACCTAAGTGCCATACTGGCTCCGCCTCTGCACGTAGGTCCATCTCTTTGCTTCGAAAGATGCACGTTAACATATATGAAAGATATTTGTGACCTTATAAGATAAAGTTGTTTGTGTAAGAAATTTTTTGTCACAGCTAGGCAACACAACACCATCTTCAAATGTCTCCTAAGTGGCATGGGAAAAAAATATTCACATTTAGGATATCAAAAATTTGGGACGGTGGGCAAATTACTGGACAAAAGATAATCGAGACTTTTTGAAATCTGACAATTTCCATTAGAATCGCCACATTCTGGAAAACAGTGGGCAACATATATAATTTTTTTATATATTACCTACTACCTTCAGCAGAATATGGTTAGGGGCGAGTTATTTATTAGGACAACTATAGACTAAAAATTAAAAGATTCAAAACAATAAGACCCAGCTGAGAAAAACAAAAATTGGCTAAGTCGAAGTCGTGTGAGAATAATGGGGACGGATAGCACACGTGGCAACATATTACAGGTTTAAAAGACGACCAGCCCGCGGTATTTTAGATCCAGTTGATGATAATGAATCAAGACGAGAAACCATCTAGGTTCCTTCTTCTTCTTCCACAATATAATTATTTCCTCACACACCCACCCCTAGAGAGAGAGAGAACGGTGTTACCGCTTTTAGGAGAGATAAAGTAGGTTTCTTCATTTAGAATTTGGATAGACAGAGAGATACAGAAAGTGTTTAGCCATGATGAGTCTGAGAAGAGGAGAAAGGCAAGACTCGCCGGCGGCGTACAACGTTGTTCACAAACTGCCGCACGGAGACAGTCCTTACGTCCGAGCAAAGCATGTTCAGGTGAGAATTTACGATTTTTGGTTTTATCAAATATAATCAGAATCTATAAATGATTTTATCCATAAAAAGTAACTATAGAGATCTGGTTGAGGAAGATGGAAAAATAATCGAAAATCGATTTGACTGATTTGAAAATTGGAAATGTTTGGTCACAGCTTGTGGAGAAGGATGCGGAAGCAGCGATAGAGTTGTTCTGGAAAGCGATCGAAGCGAGAGACAGAGTGGATAGTGCTCTTAAAGACATGGCCTTGTTGATGAAACAACAGAACAGAGCGGAAGAAGCCATTGAAGCTATTCAGTCCTTTAGACATCTTTGCTCGAGACAAGCTCAAGAATCACTCGACAATGTCCTCATCGATCTCTACAAGGTAAAAACCTCACTCCGAGATCATTCTAGCTATTGTCTGGTTGATTGATTGTTGTTAGATAATAAATATTGAGAAAATTGGGATCCGAATTCTGAGCAGAAATGTGGGAGAATAGAAGAGCAAGTTGAGCTGTTGAATCAAAAGCTTTGGATGATATACCAAGGAGAAGCATTCAACGGCAAGCCAACAAAGACAGCGAGATCTCACGGGAAGAAATTCCAGGTCACGGTCGAGAAGGAAACCTCTAGGATCTTGGTACGATAATCTCTCAATTTTTTTTGGTTTTTATTAGATTTTCTGAAGTTTATTGATCACAAATGTGCTGATGGGAATGATTGAAATTTGTGTTTATAGGGAAACTTGGGATGGGCTTATATGCAACTAAGGGACTACACAGCGGCTGAGACCGTGTACAGGAGAGCTCAAATGATAGAGCCAGATGCAAACAAGGCTTGTAATTTGTGCACGTGTCTCATCAAGCAAGGGAAGCACGATGAGGCGAGATCGATTCTGTTCCGTGATGTGCTACGAGAGAACGCGGAAGGGTTTGGTGATTTGAGGTTGAAGGCTCGTGTTCAAGAGCTGCTGAGTGAGCTAGAGCCCCGGGAAGAAGAAGAAGAAGAAGCAGCGGTTTTAGCTTCTGTGTCTTTGGAATGTGAAGTTGGTATGGATGAGATCGAAGGGCTTGATGAGTTTGTGAAAGAATGGAGGAGGCCTTATAGGACAAGAAGACTTCCTATCTTTGAGGAGATCTTACCACTGAGAGATCAATTAGCTTGTTGATTATTCTCTGTCGTTTGGATTGATACTTTGAATGCTATAAATAGCAACTTTTTGTGTAGAAGAGTGTAGTGAACATAGTTTACTTCTTGTAAGCTGTTTTTGGGTGTTGTATAACTTGTTATCACTGTAATATTTCAAAGGAATCCAAAAATAGTTGATGTTATTTCCATTAATATAAGAACACTGTAGGGAGGAATCATAATCCGATCATAGAATTTTAGATTACAAAAGCATAAAGGCCTAACCTATAACAAGCAAAAAGCTTAAATCTGTCTTCCAAAAATTTGATCTTCTAAGGATCATTGTCAATACCAAGTCAATATATTTGCCTAATAGAGAAGGGAACATATATTAAAAGGGGATAACTATACCGGGAGTGGTTCTAATCAGATTAGTAGCGATGTGTGGTCTGATAAAATAGCATGGGATCAAGTTTTAAGTACACTTGAAGCCATGGCAAACCGACAAGATGATGATGAGAATCAAAGCGACGACGATGCCGAAAACTACGAGCTTTATCTTCATGTTGTCAAACCACATTTTTCTTTTAATCTTTGTTCCTTGTGCTCTAAAATCTTGCGCCTATATAAGACATTCAGAAAAACAAGACCATGTTACCACTTTATCCCGGTATGCAATGAGGTGTCTATGCTGTATACGTAGAGAAGTGGTTTACTAACCTGTGAGCGAAGATTCTCAGTTTTGTCTACTAATAGCTCGATTTTCTCACCACGGTCAAGGACCTGCCATGGAAATGAATTCTCAGAAAACATTCATTTTTGTTGGTCTTAGCGGAAGTCTATCAATACAATTCTGAAAATTACCTTCTCAATGTTCTCCATCATAACACCTTTCACTTCAGTCACTTGAGCCTTAACCTTGGCAAGTTTGCTAATCTCCTCGGGATGATCCACGCAATATTGCATGTGCTGTTTGAGTTTAGGCCTTCATTACAACAAAACCAGTTAAAAACAGAGTTATAAAGATGGAATTGGATATATATGAGTTTTGTGTGTCAAAATGCTGATTTTGATGTAAAAAAAGTACCCGAATTCTTTGTTCAGGCTGTTGGCTTTAGCATTGTTGGCTTTTCCACCACCATATCTCTTGCTGAAATCTTCCTTGACTCGCTCCAAGAATGCCATTGGTATCTGCCTCCCAGCAGATTCAATAACAACAACACAATAGGCTGCATTTCAAACACACAGAGAATTAAAACCAGCTTTTGCCACATTCTATCTAAAGCAAATACGTGCGCTGGGTTGTGTTCCTCCAAAAGCGTATTTTTTTAGCAAAAGGAAAACATTGATCAAGCATCCAAACAAGCTTTTAATTCTTCACCATAATCAAAACAACAAGCCATTAACAGAGTATGTGTGTGTACTGATGTAGCCGGTTTGCCTGAACCGTGCGTGTGATTTAGTTTGGTTCACTGTGAGATAACCAACACCCTCTCCTTTTAAAAGAGGGTCTTATGTAACAAACTCATTTTTGTCGTTACTATAAAATAACAGAAACTTTCCATTTGGTCATTTTCTTCCTTCGGAATCTATCTACTAAATTTGATGGAAATCAGAGCGAAACATGATTTCGGTTAAAAACGACCAAATTTTTACATCTCAACCAGAATGTGCATGGAAATGTAACCCAATTCATGCTTCTAGCCAAATGGAAACTCTTCATGTAATTTGCCACAAATCTTTTAGATATGAATCAGAGAGTTAATGATTCACATGCGTATACAATTTCACAAGAGCCGAGTGCGACAAAATATCCTACGAATCCAAAGCTGCACTAATCTCGAAATTATAGATCGAAACTCAGCATTCAAATGAAAAATAACCGAAAGTAATAATGTGATCGAACAAACAAAAAAGACTTACTGAAACCATTCTCAGCGAGATAATTGAAAGTGTGACCATCGCAATTGTAGGTAAATTTGTTGTTTGAGGACGGAAGCTTCTGGAGGCATTGAGCGGCGACGGATGTGAAATTTCCTTTGAACTCTGTATATTCGGCGAGGATCACCGTACCCCGAGCGACGAAGCTGTAGATCAACGATTGTTGTCCCATTGTTCCTTTATCCAGACGCAACACAAAAATAAAAACTCTAGCAGCACCAGAATTCGATCAGAGAAATTAGTAAACGATGTAAAATAATACCATATGGTTATGGAACGAGGGGTGGAGATTGAGAGAGAAGACGAAGCGATCGGAGATGAGAAACATAATGAGAACGCTGGATTTGTGCGAGAAACAGTGTCATCGTTCAAAATTTAAAATTATAAAAAATGAAAGGAAATATACATTGTTTTGTAAGCACGTAATGTATTAATTGTTTTCACTACTCTATAGTACTTCATTTCAATTCAAATTTCAATATTTTTATTTCATTTTCCATGAATCCGAACCTTTATTCATTGATGAAAAAAAAGCTGTTTGATGAATGACAATATTTATACGTATAGAAAATAGAGGTACTGGAAACATGTCAAGAAAAATGTACTTTATATGATATTTGAGTCGTCACATGTTTTTATATAATCCGACTCGTTCGGTTACAGATGTAGGAATTAAACTCAACCAACTAATTGTATCTTACTTAAAGAGTGTTCAATCGACAATGTTGCAACAACATGACCTTTGATTGCATTCCAATTCAACAACCTGATTTTCCACCAAACTACATAAGTTTGATTGCTGATAATAATTTGAGGAGCACGTAAGAAAAAAGTTAGGCGGTTAGAAAAGCTGTATGAGATCCAATAACCCTCAAATATTTTGTTTAGCTTTTTGGTGGATTATAGTTAAGGAAGAAGATTGTGAATGTAAAATATGCAAGGTCTTCTTTGTTGGCCCTTGAAGTAATAACAAGTAGCAAGAAATGGAACGTTTTGTTTCCAATAAAGAAAGAGAAAAAGACAGACAGACTCTGTGTGTTATCTTCGACTATGGGACCTGAACTTGTCTTAAAAATGGTAATTACGATATCGCCATCCGCAGGGTCCACGAGTTTCTTGACCGGGATCCGGCAACAAAACGGGTCCAAAATTCTCGAGATTTGGTCTTTCGGTTTTGAAATTGGCTTTTAGTCCTTCAATTCCAGGTTTTATATCTTTTTTATCATCCCATCTAGTTAGACTTATGGAATGACTAATTTACCCTGGACTCTTTTCTACTTTTTCTTCACCCTTTCCCACTTGAGTCCTCGTTTTGTTGCTGTTAAGTCTTTCCTAGATCTGTAGTTTTTCCGCGACATCCCATAGAATTTTCTCTGATTAGACGGTCGATCGGATCGGATCAAATCGAATCAAGGATTTAGGGGAAGAGAATGGCGCAGCAATCGCTGATCTACAGTTTCGTGGCTCGGGGCACGGTGATCCTCGTCGAGTTCACTGATTTCAAAGGCAATTTCACCTCCATCGCGGCACAGTGCCTCCAGAAGCTTCCTTCCTCGAACAACAAGTTCACCTACAACTGCGACGGCCACACGTTCAACTACCTCGTCGAAGATGGATTCAGTAAGTCCTTCTCGTTTGATCTATACACTCAGGTTTTTGATGTGTTCTTACATTTTACACCACCACTCAGTGCTCGCTCTCTAGGTTTCTTCGCTTCGTCTCGAATTTTTTTCTGCTCACTGCGTATTTGCCTAACGTACGCGCCGAGTTATCTATCGATTTGTGTGGATTCGTGAGTTTTGAGTATCCTGATTCCTCTCACTAGCCGCTGTACCAAGCATTTAGGGTTAGATCTATATCAGTTATTTGAAATAGATCTCTGTAGAGAGTCTTTCGTATGCTCTTACTCAGTATTCGATGGAACCTGTGGCATTTGTTTTTCTAATACTATGTGGAAGAACACCAACATTGATCTGGGGTACGGTTTTTACTGGTTGCTTGATTTACATAATTTATCGTCTTATTCTCCATGAATCTGGGGTCTGATTGTCATCTCTGTGACGATCCTAGCGTTGTAGCCATATCTGGGGAATGCCTTGTGCTGTGTTGGCTGTATGAGCTTAATTTCGTTTCTTGTTTTTGCAGCGTACTGTGTTGTTGCGGTTGATTCTGCTGGGAGGCAGATCCCGATGGCATTTCTGGAGAGAGTGAAAGAGGACTTTAACAAGCGATACGGTGGGGGCAAGGCTGCAACTGCTCAGGCAAACTCCTTGAACAAAGAGTTTGGGTACGCGTTGTATCTCTCCTTCTGCTACTGTCGATTTCATCTTACAAACTTCTAGGACTGACTCTTTTGGTTACTTTGAAGCTCGAAGCTGAAAGAGCACATGCAGTACTGTATGGATCATCCTGACGAGATCAGCAAGCTTGCTAAGGTGAAGGCGCAAGTGTCAGAAGTTAAGGGTGTTATGATGGAGAACATCGAGAAGGTTAGAATCTGACCCTCTTTTTTGTTTGTCCGTGTATGTTTTATGATTCACCACCCATGTCCCGTATGCGTTTCCTAATTAGCTCATCTGTTATGACTGAAATCTCTTGTTTTGGTATCTATTCAATGCATCACATCTTAAGGAATATGTCCAGTTTTACCAATGTAACACATGATCTTTAAACGAGTATATATATGAAACTCAATTCGTTGCAGGTTCTTGACCGTGGTGAGAAAATTGAGCTTTTGGTGGACAAAACCGAGAACCTTCGCTCACAGGTTAGACTCTCATGCAGTTACCTCCTTCATACATAGAAATAAGAAGCTGGTTCACTATATTGTCTTATCTCATGTTTGATAAAACTTAAACTGCTACAGGCACAAGATTTCAGAACAACGGGGACGCAGATGAGAAGAAAGATGTGGCTCCAGAACATGAAGATAAAGCTCATAGTACTCGCCATCATTGTCGCACTGATTCTCATCATTGTGCTCTCAGTTTGCCATGGCTTCAAGTGTTAAGCCCGGAAAATTCAAAACCCTCTTGAGATCTTTTCTCACTCGGTACATCGTACTGCCTTTTTCTTTTATTGTTCTATCATCATTCTAATGTTTCTGCTCGAATTGGTTTTGTATAGATAGACATATATGTATGCTACACATTTGCTATATTGCTTGCACCTGATGACATTGATCCTTTGCAAACTAGTAGTATTTGACAAGAGATCGAAAACTATTAAATGATTTTGTCGACTAAAGACTGCTCATGGTGATGATGATAATAATTTGATAATGATAATGTCGATGATACATTTCTTGTGAGTTGGTAACTTTAGATTTATGTGAGAGAAGTGCGCATAAAAAGCCCAGTGCGATATGAGAATGATTAGACAACACCAGATTATGAAAGTCCAGTGCTAAATCAAGCCTCTTTTCTTTCTGAAATTTATTTGCATCATCCGACAACCTACGAGGTGGTTTTGTCCAAACTTTATAGCTGTTATGCGCATAATTGTCTGAAACAAAAATTACAAATTGTGGTTGTCGCGAGAGATAATCAATATCAACTTGGAGAACCCAAATTTAATCCCTTACAAATTGAACAATCACCAATTTTCGGGGTAACTCAGAAAACGGCCCGAAAATTATATGGGCCGAGAAGTCTACTTTGAGATTCTGGTGCCATAGTGTTCCCGCTAAAAACACACTCTCATTAGTCATTCCCGCCCAAGCTCACCACCAGATTCCGATTTGCCATTCGCCGCACACCGCTCCCCCACAAAATTCAATTTCCGGCCGATCATAGCAGAAAATGGATTTCGATATCCCATTGCCGGAGGAGCTTGAGCTTCTCGAAGCCAACTCTTACTTCCCTGAAGAAGAAGAGGACTACCTAAACTTCGAGGAGGCGCCGTATCCCTACCCAATCGACGTCGATGAAGAAGAAGAAGACGAACGCGTGGCGCAGAAGGAGACCCATGTCCGACAATCGGAATCTTCTGATATCAACGGTTGTAAACGACCCAGGAGTTCAATGTCGGATCCGATTGTCAATCTAGACGAAGTTTCTCCAGCCGCCGATAAGAGAAGCAAAATTGATAATAATCGGATAGAAATGGAAGACGAGGACTGGCTACGACTCTCGCCGGTTAAGGAAGCGGTCCATGTTATGGAGGAAGAAGAAGAAGTCACTCCCCAGGAGACTATATTGTCCAGGTTAGTCACTGTTCGCGATTACCGAGTCGGAAATTTTGATTTCGTAATTTGATAATCTCGTTATTGGAATTTTCAGATATGCTTCTGAGATTGACGGGGAATGTGTTCCGATCACGGCACCGGACGGAGGAGAGAGAGTTTATGCGAAATTCTGCCGGGCCTTGGGAGACGAAGAGGTGAAGAAATTGGATGTCAAAGCCAACTCCAACTCTAATGGTACGAAGTTTTTCATTAATCTTCTATTTGTTCCGAAATTGTTTGTGAAGTTCAATTATCTTTTGGCAAGAACTCAAATTTTTAGCTTTGATTTTTCTTTTGTAGGTCTTATCAAAGATCCCATCAGTGTTCTTCTGCAACAATCAGAGATAGAGGCATTTAACAAGGTACATTTCTTGTTAATTTTTGTTTTTTTTTTTTGCACAAAACGGATTAGCTTTTGTTAGTTTCAGGTTTCTTCTTTCTTGTGTCGTTCGCTTACAATTATTATAAAACACTCATTATTCGTTTGTATGTGAATCATACTAATATCAGCAGTTGTGGATGATAGTTATGTCCTCTCCTAACCAGTAGGTGTTAATGTTTGACACTGTAGGTCTTGCAAACTAGTTCTGAAGATCAGAATGGAACCATTACTCCAGAAACATCTGTAATGCATGAAAAACTCTGGGTGGACAAATATTCTCCGAGCTCATTTACTGAGCTTCTCAGTGATGAGCAGACCAATCGAGAGGTATTTTGCATATCTTGGTAAAGATTTTGGGTATTATATGAATCCACAATCGGTAGAATGATTTTGGAGCAGCGTCTGATTTGAACTATTAGTTGATGCTCTAAATGTTATTTGCAGGTTCTGTTATGGCTTAAGCAGTGGGATGCTTCTGTTTTTGGATCTGAAATTAGGAGCACGACAGATGAAGTATTGTCAGCTTTGAAACGACATTCTACAACAAGTCATCATCAAAAATCAGATTCAGCTTTCACTAGGAAAAATCAGTTCAAAAGATGGAGTAAGGAAAGTTTCTCATATCCTCAAAAATCAGACGTAAGCAACAGCAACACTACAGATATTCACGACTTGTGGAACAAAAAGTCAAAACTTACTGGTCCTCCAGAGCAAAAGGTGTGATAAACTGATTTAGACTTCAAACTTTTATTAGTAAGCTGTTGGTCGTTGTCTTGTACTAAAACCATTAGTATGCACCGGTTGTAGATCCTTCTGCTTTGTGGTGCCCCAGGGCTTGGGAAGACTACGCTTGCTCACGTTGCAGCTAAGCATTGTGGATATCGCGTTGTTGAGGTATTATTGCTTACCCTCTACTTTCACAAGTCAACTTATACTTTCGCTAGCTAAGTTCTTGACTGTTGGGATAAGCGGAAATCCAGGACATTGATTATGTCCATATTATCATTCCTTAAAAAAGGATTCTTCATTGATTGTGTTTCAGCAACATTTCTGTGTATGCATCTTTCTCACTCTTCTGTATCAGGCTTAATTAAACCCATGCTATATTGCAGATCAATGCTAGTGATGAGCGATCAGCAGCAGCCATTGAAACTAGAATTCTTGATGTAGTTCAGATGAACTCTGTTACAGCTGATTCTAGACCTAAATGTTTGGTATGATTGACTTACTCTGTTCGTTGGGGACCTTTTTTCATCATGTCAAATTCAGTTACTCAAACGTTGCCTTGAAGTAGAAGAGACTGACCACAATTTATGCAGGTGATTGATGAGATAGATGGAGCTCTTGGTGATGGAAAAGGAGCAGTTGATGTCATTTTAAAGATGGTAAGTATGTGCATGCTTGTACGGGGCTCGTGGTCATTTGGGCTCTGAAATTTAGGTTGAGTTTTGCAAATACTGACTTATCAACTCTTTGCTCGGTTTACCTTTTTAGAAAGATTTAGCGATTTTTCTCTCCTTCACAGTCTCAACAACTGCAAGATGGTTTTTCGTTACTTCTATCTTACTTTGCTAGCTCTAGACCTCCTTTAATTCCCTTATATTTTTATTTACCTTCTACATTAGCTTGAAGTGCTGAAGACCAATTCGGGAATAACTATGTTATAGCATCTGTTAGTGTTTAATTGTATCTTCGCTGCGTAGGTTATGGCAGAAAAGAAGAATGCTACAGGCAAGGAAAATGTAGATAATGGGAAGACTTCCTCGAAGAAGGAGCGGCGAACAGCACCGCTCTCAAGACCTGTCATCTGTATATGTAATGACTTATATGCACCCGCTCTCAGACCTCTGCGACAAATAGCAAAGTAAGTTCTGATTTCAGTTTAATTGGAGGGTCTCTTTTTGTGCGGTGAAGTTAGCACTAGTTTATGTAGGGCATAATGCATTTAAAATGTTTAATCGTCTTCAGTACGTCTTGATTATATCTGCTTATCAAATGCTCATTCTAGATAAACTTCGCCTCTTAGTATGATGATAAGCTCCTGTAATTCTGTTGCAGGGTTCATATATTTGTTCAACCAACAGTGAGTCGTGTAGTAAACAGGTAATTACATTCTTACTTTATTGCGCCTAAAAGGAATTCTTTCATTTTTTGTTTGTTGTTGATTCATTTTTGTGAGGGTACAGTCATTGGTAATTAAATTCAATATTTCTTCCCACCTGTATTTATCTAGCAATCGCCTTACTAGACTAAAATGTTCAAATGACAGGCTCAAGTATATTTGTAATATGGAGGGGATGAAAACTAGATCATTCGGTCTAGGTGCTCTTGCGGATTACACTGGTATCTTTCTCCTTTTCCTTATGCTCATTGTGTTCATTTTATTTTAGTTCTTACTCTGATGATCTGATCTATTGCCAACGAGTTTGATCTGATAATATTCTTATTTTCTTAGAGAATTAATTAGTTGTGTATTTGTTTCTTAAATGATTCTCCTATCTTTTGCCTTTCCTTTGGTGGTTCCAGAATGCGACATACGCTCTTGCTTGAACACTCTGCAGTTTCTCAACAAGAAAAATGAAACCCTCAATGTGGTGAGATTTTCATGCGCTTCTTGCAATGCCTGATTGTTTCTGTTTTTTAGGCAGTGCTTTCAATTTGATTTCCATTCTTGGAGACTGGCCCTTCTAATAAGCTAAACAATGGCCTGGTTCTGTCTCTTTTAGATTGACATTGGCTCTCAAGTTGTTGGGCGGAAAGACATGTCAAAGAGTCTGTTTGATATTTGGAAAGAGGTAATGAAAGCACAATTAAAGTGTCGTAGCTTGCATTACTTACAGATGACTTCATTTTATATCCAAGCTTGTTTTCTTCTTTTCAGATATTCAACAAGAGGAAAATAAAACGAGAACGAGCTAATGACGCTTCAGGCAGTGAAGCCAAAAACTTTGATTTTTTACACACTCTCGTATCCAGTCGGTACCGTACAAGACAATGATTTTCTCATTCATATTTCATAACTTTCTTGCATGCTGTCCTGTGTTTTTCTCCTTTATGCTTAAAGTAGGTAACTGAATGTGCAGGGGTGATTATGATATGATTTTCGATGGTATACATGAAAACTTTTTGCAGCTTCACTACCATGATCCGGTGATGGACAAAACAGTAAGACTAATTAATGATTTCTAATGACCTGTCACTGTTTTGTTCTGTATGTTTTTGCGTTTATGTTCTGAAATATTCTTATGTGTAATCATTGTCATTTAAAGGTAAACTGCTTGGACTGTCTTGGAACTTCTGATTTGCTGCATCGATATATTATGCGCACCCAGCAAATGCATATCTACGGTAAAGCCTTTAAAGCTCAATTGATTACCAAGTCCTGCAAGATAAGACTCCTTGTATTTTTTTTACCTTGTGATGCAGCTTATATCCCTAGCCTGGTGATACCTATACACCGTCGTGTAGCCCAGATTCAAAGACCAACTATTGAGTGGCCTAAGTCATACCACAGGTGAATTTGGTGTCATCTTTTATTGATTACGAAAGGCATTTCAAGCGTATCTTCTTACAAGTTCTTCTCAATATGAAATCTATCAGATGTCGAACGCTTTTGGTGGAGAAGCAGGAGTCCCTGCGGTCTTGGCACCACAAGATACCTCCCTCTATTGGGAGGCATTTGTCGATCAAGTCTTTTGTAGAAGACTCTGTTTCCCCACTATTGCATATTCTTTCTCCCCCAAATCTAAGACCGGTATGTCTCCATTTGTTGGCTCTTAATTTCCTTTATACTCACTGTTCGTCTTCCGGTTTACTCCAACATCCCTAATTTTCATATATCCCACTGCACTTCTAAGAATAACATCTTGCTACGCTCCTCAGGTGGCATCACATTTGCTATCAGATAGGCAAAAGGAGCAGCTGGCGGGTTTGGTCATGCTTATGTGTTCTTATTCTGTAACGTATAAGAATGTGAAACCTGACCCTGCTCTGAGGAACCTTAGGGAGGATGCTGCTTCAGATGTTTCAGTTCTTACTTTAGATCCACATCTATTTGATTTCATTAGTTTCAAGGTTTTGTTTCTGCTTCCTTTTTCTTTACCAGCTGCCCACTATATTTTGCCTTTGTGGATAATACTCATCCTCTTTCCAACGTTTGACAGGGCCACCAATTTAAACATCACGTACTAGCCTTAGCAATGAAACAAGTGCTTATACATGAAGTAAGTCTCGCATCTTCTCTGGAACTTGTTATAAACTGTGCCTTTAGCTGCATGAAGATCTTGAATTGTTTGGTTTTCCAAATGATTGTGAAAAACTCAGGTTGAGAAGCAAAAGATATTGCAAGCAAGTGGAGGAAGGTCCGGGATCTTGCACAAACCTGAAATTAAGAAAACAAATCAAGACTTTGCCAGGAGAACCATTGCTGCATCAAATGAGAGTAAAAAAAATCCAATTGCCTCAAACCCTCCATCAGCCTCGGTGGAGAACGCCACAACTTCAAAACCAAAATCTAGTGATGTGAAAAAGGCATCTCGCAACGCCCTTAATTTCTTCGACAGGTACTCGGAGGATTTTTTATCTTTTTTTCTCTAAGTAGAACTTCATTATACCTCATGGCCTTATTCCCCATAGAAATAATAGAGTATCGTATTACTAATCGCATTGTTGTCTTGTTAAACAGGTTTAGAAAGTCAAGGAAAGATTATGAAGATCCAGAGGATGTACAAAAGAGAGCAACAGCGAAAAGAGATTCTCGGCCTCTTCTCTTCAAGTTTAACGAGGTATGTCAAACCCCAACTATGTTGCAACCAAACTGAAAATTCCCAAAAGAATGATTCTAAGATAACTATGTATGAACCTCATGAAGTCCAAATACATTGAGGATTGTTTAACTGATGTGTATTATATTATTATTTACAGGGTTTCACAAATGCTGTGAAGAGACCGGTGAGAATGCGGGAGTTTCTTCTATGATTCTGCAATGAAGGAAGTTTGAAATGCGAAACTAAGCTTAAATCTGATTTAGTTCCATCCTTTGACCATATGGATTATCTATAAAGTGTGAATGTAAATATAGCAGTTAAGATGAGAACCTGTTGGCATATTATCGAACAAACAAAGGTCAAAGGGTCGTAAGATCGTGAATATGGAACAACCAGAGGATTATATCGTAGTTACCTAACAAGCTGAGAAAAACCATAAATTTTCGCAAATGATAGGTCAAAACTATAATTACAGAACTGATAGCGAGCAAAACTATAATTTATGAACAAACTGATGGTAAAATCCATAAAATATGAAGCAGCCTCAGGATTTTTCCTAAAAAACGGAGATTGGGGTGAGAGAGTGAACATTACCTATGCACATTGACACTACTCCAAAACGGCAGTCTTTACCACGACGTTTCATCTCGTGCAGCAGTGTTGCAACGCATCTGGCGCCTGAGAAAGTGTAATTGGGTTTCGTTGGATCAGAGGAACTCATTAACCATATAGGGAACACGGAGGAAGCATACCTGTAGCGCCCAAGGGATGTCCAATGGCTATGGCTCCTCCATTGACATTGATCTTCTCCGGGTCTAGTCCCAGCTTGTTCCGACAATAAACAAATTGAGATGCAAACGCCTAAAACACACACTAGTTTTTTAGACAGGGGATATAAAGACTTCATAGTAAAATGAATAGAAAGAAGAGTTTGTTCTGTTATCTTTCACCTCGTTAATCTCAAACAAGTCGATGTCATCGAGTTCTAAACCAGCCGCCTTGACTGCAGCAGGAATCGCAACAGCTGGTCCAACCCCCATTATCGCTGGATCCACACCAACTGCAGCAAATGTCCTGCAATGTGTCCAAGAGTTCTCTACTTATTTAGTCAACGAAACGCCAATAGTATAAACTATAAAGTATCAAACTTACCTGAATACACCAAGAATAGGAAGGCCTTTCTGCATTGCGACACTCCTCCTCATGAGGAGAACTGCTCCTGCACCATCACTTACTTGGCTAGAATTTCCTGTTTAACACAAGTGAAGCACTGAATACACAAAACAGAAAGAACAAAAGGAAAAACCAATTTTCCCTGCAAGGTGAATATAGTACCAGCAGTTGTGGTTCCGTCTTTCTTAAACACAGGCTTCAGCTTTGCAAGACCGGAAAGGGTTGTGCTAGGTCGAATCCCATCATCCACAGAAACTGTTATGAGTTTCTCATCACCTGTCTTTTGGTCAACAATCTGACATGTAAAAACCAAAAGCCATTAATTTGGGTAACGAGCATTTGACGCATCCTGGAGAATCACCAGGTGGAAAAACGGTATCTACCTTGGTGTTTACGGGGATAATTTCATCCTTAAATATACCGGAAGCAGTAGCAGAAGCAACTCGTCTGGATATGTATCCTTGAAGCTGCCACGTTTTGCCTTGCAAAGTGCAGTCCTTTGTGCTCTGTTAGTTTTACCATCATCACAGGAATCTTAGAACAAAAAGTTCAATAATTTTTGAACGAGAGACAAAAAGCATAAGAGATAAGAAACTTAACGAGACAATGACAACGTCATCTCCATATTGAGAGGTCCTCTGATATGCAGCACTGTCTCCCGCCAAGCAAGCTGAGGCCTTTGTGACAAGGCATTACATGCATCAAGAGATACGTTTGTAATCGAACATAAATTCTATTACTTTTCAAATAGAATCGAACAAGAAGCAAACAAATTCACAAAATCAACCTTAATCGATCCTTAGAAAACAGCTTACAAGCAAAGAATTCATAGCAATTAGCGATAGGAAATTTCGGGAAGAGGCAAAAACGATGAAGAGAGATCGGCGGAGCTTACAGAGAGAGTGTGGGAGTTGGAGTGTGAGGAGGAAGATGACGAAGAAGGTTGAAGATGGTGAAGCAGAATCCTTTGTCTCTCCATCGCCTTTTCCATTTTCGCTAATTTGTTCAAAACGAAACTGAGCTGGGCACAACCGTTGCAATGATCGTCCCACTTGATAGAACTAAAAATAAATAATTACATTGAAACTAAACCCGGTTAAATAAAAATTAAAACAAAACCCGGTTAAGGCTGGGTTATATGGTTCGGGGTTTAGGTGGGATCAAAACATCCGGTTTCGATGTACGCCGACGTCGTTTTAGGGTAGGGTTTTAGGTTTGCCTGCTCTATATCTTGAATCTCCTCGCAGTTTCAGACAGAAACACAGTCGACCGTCATTTCTTCGACGGCTCGTTTCTCTTCTCAACCCACCTAAACGCCGTCTCGACTGTCTTCGTAAGTCTCTGACCTTAGAACCTCTATCGTTGTATTCCCTTCGATCCTTATTACTGTTTGCTGTTGTTTTTTTTTTGGTTTTGGTCTCAATTATCAGTAAGAAATTTGATACTTTAGTCTTTAGGTTGCTGTTTCTATTGATTGGTTTCGCTTTTGATTTCTCAAACTTGTGGGTTTTGATTTGCTACTTCGTTAGTGTGTTTTTGTTGATCCTTAAGACATCACAAATTTTTGATTCGTATCTCATAATTAATAGTTTAGTAATCACATGGTTTGGATTTTATGCTTTATGATCAAGCTGTGACGGATTAAGTGGAATTCATGTATACAGTTTTGTCTGAAAACCTTATTGATTTGTTTGCTGTAAGAGTGAGTTGTTGTCATGGTGATATTTTAATCCGGATTTGTATGATTTGTTGCAGACCAATTGGCAAAAATGGTGCAATACAATTTCAAGAAGATTACGGTTGTCCCCAATGGCAAGACGTTTATTGACATCATCCTGTCAAGGACTCAGCGTCAGACCCCAACTGTTGTCCACAAGGGTTACAAGATCAACCGTCTGCGTCAGTTCTACATGAGGAAGGTTAAGTACACGCAGACTAACTTCCATGAGAAGCTTTCTACAATCATTGAGGAGTTCCCACGCCTCGAGCAAATCCATCCTTTCTACGGAGATCTTCTTCACGTGCTCTACAACAAGGATCACTACAAGCTTGCTCTAGGCCAAGTGAATACCGCAAGGAACTTGATCAGCAAAATCGCCAAAGATTATGTGAAGCTGCTCAAGTATGGTGACTCCTTGTACCGGTGCAAGTGTCTGAAAGTGGCTGCTCTTGGGCGTATGTGCACTGTTTTGAAGAGAATCACTCCCAGTTTGGCTTATCTGGAGCAGATCAGGCAGCACATGGCGAGGCTTCCTTCGATTGACCCCAACACCCGCACTGTCTTGATCTGTGGTTACCCTAACGTGGGCAAGAGTTCTTTCATGAACAAAGTCACCAGAGCTGATGTTGATGTCCAGCCTTATGCCTTCACCACAAAGTCTCTCTTTGTTGGTCACACTGATTACAAGTACTTGAGGTATCAAGTCATTGACACCCCTGGGATTTTGGACAGGCCATTTGAGGACCGCAACATCATTGAAATGTGCAGTATCACAGCCTTGGCCCATCTCCGAGCTGCCGTTTTGTTCTTTCTGGACATTTCTGGTTCGTGCGGTTACACAATTGCTCAGCAGGCTGCTCTTTTCCACAGCATCAAGTCCCTGTTTCTGAACAAGCCTTTGGTGATCGTCTGCAACAAGACTGATTTGATGCCCATGGAGAACATATCTGAGGAAGACCGGAAACTTGTTGAAGGGATGAAGGCTGAAGCTATGAAGACTGCCATGGGAGCAAGTGAAGAAGCAGTGCTTTTGAAGATGAGTACTCTTACAGAAGAGGGTGTGATGGCTGTCAAGAACGCTGCCTGTGAGAGGCTTTTGGATCAGAGGGTTGAGGCAAAGATGAAATCCAAGAAGATCAACGACCACTTGAACAGGTTCCATGTGGCGATGCCGAAGCCTCGTGATAACATTGAGAGGCTCCCTTGCATACCTCAGGTGGTTCTGGAGGCTAGAGCCAAGAAAGCTGTTGAGATGGAGAAACGTAAGACTGAGAAAGATTTGGAAGAGGAAAATGGTGGTGCTGGAGTTTACTCTGCTAGTTTGAGGAAGAACTACATCTTGCAGCATGATGAGTGGAAGGATGACATTTTGCCTGAGTTTCTCGATGGTCATAATGTGGCTGACTTCATTGATCCAGACATTATGTTGAGGCTTGAGGAGTTGGAACGTGAAGAGAAAGTGAGGCTGGCCAAGGCTAAAGAAGATGATGTCGAGATGGACGTTGAAGAGCTTTCAGAGGAGCAGAAACTGCAGCTCGCAGCCATTAGAAAGAAGAAAGCTGTACTCATTCGAGAGCATAGGCTCAAGAAGACCGTTGCACAGAACAGATCAACTGTTCCCAGGAAGTTTGACAAGGACAAGAAGTATACGACTAAGAGAATGGGTAGGGAACTATCAGCTCTGGGACTTGATCCTTCATCTGCAGTGGACCGTGCAAGAAGCAAGTCTAGAGGGAGAAAGAGGGATCGATCAGAAGATGGAAATAACGATGCAATGGATGTTGATGATGAGCAGCAGTCGAACAAGAAGCAGCGTGTGAGATCAAAATCGAGATCTATGTCAGTAGCAAGGTCAGCGTCAAGGCCTCCTGCAGATGCAGTTGTACCTGGTGATGGATTCAAGGACTCTACTCAGAAGAAATCGGCGCTTAAGATTAGCCATGGCTCTCACAAAAAGAGAGACAAGAATGCTCGTAAGGGAGAAGCTGATAGAGTTATTCCGACTCTGAGACCCAAGCACTTGTTCTCTGGCAAGAGAGGTAAAGGAAAAACGGATAGGCGTTGATCAAACCAAACAAGCAAAGGTACTTCACAAAATTCCATCATCTCTGTCACTTTCTTACGCCTTGCGGTATAAATGCGTTATAATCGGAAATGTTTGCTTCTTACAGGGAAAACATATGGTGGATCGATCGGAGAACATCTCTCGAGTTTTGGACTTTTTTTTACCTTTTGTTTACTATTATTATTATGTTATGCATGTCTTATGGATTTTCTACAGACATCATATGATGAAACATTGTAGCTTCTTCTGCGACCAATGTGTTTTGAAGACTAGGAATCGTTTAAGCAAACCTTTTAATGGATTTATTTTATTTAAGATTTTCGAAATTTTCGCTTTGAATGTTGATACTTTGCAATTTTGTCATTCTCTGTTTTAGCTCGTAGTACAACAACGTAGTATATGGGTTAAAAAACCAGGAACATAAGAATGAAACATAAACAATGGATTTCCTGTTGTTTTTGTTTTGCCAATAAGTCAGCAGCCTTATTTTCTTCTCTTGGTACCCACGCAAAAGAAACCTCCTCGAATTTGAGCATCCAATTCCACGAATCCAGTTAAATAAACCAAAGTTAAGGGCTTCAATATACTAATGGTTATTATTGTGTTAATTTTATGGTTGTCTGCTAATCCCTTCTGGAAGTCTCCTTCTCTTGTTCGGTCGTTTCTCTGCTTCCATCTGGTTTCTTCCTTCTATAAGCTTCTGCACTGTTGCATTAACCTCCGTGCCTTCTTCCGCAAGTAACTCGAGTTCCTCTTGTGAAGGTGTAATCGAGAGAAGCGCTCCTTCTTTCTCCAAGAACATCTTAAGTTCCGACATGAACCGCTCTGTTTTCGCTTCTTTTGCTAAAGCCATATCCAAGGCCAGAGCCGCATCTTCAGGTACGAATCTCCACAGCTGAGTACAGCCAGGTAATCGTTACTCTATTGAATCAGTTGGTCAGTAATCGTTATTAGCTCAGACAGAGAGATATGTAGCACAGAAACGTCAAACATCACCAACCTGAAAGAAAATGTTTGATTGCTCTTCCCCTTGGGACTTCTCCATGGACATTACAGAAGTGGAGAAACAGAAGATAATACAACAACACTCTCCTCAAGACTGAGATTCAATTCAACAATAAGCAGCAAAATTGAAAATGTTGTGCCTTAATACCAAAAGCAAGAAAGTAACGAGAGCAGTCAGGCCGATCCAAAGCCACAGGCATTTGGAAGCGCACAGGCAGAATTGCCTTGTTCAGCAGACACTGGGAAACGCAAGACATGTGAAGTCTTCCCAGAGTGTCTAGGCACATAAGAAGTCTCTTCTATGTCTAACTTGGTTACATACAAGTCTCTCGATAAGCTTCGTTAGACCTATGAGCTAAGGATTTGCAACTCGTTGGAGTTAATCAGAATCAATTCTCTAGAACGCATTGCAAAAAGTCTCAAGGGATAATATTATATCTGAGAAACATAATTCATGAGAAACACTAAATGAAGCAGAACGATTGACAAATGGAGTGAACTGAACAGAGACTCACGTCACTCACCCAAAAACACCCTAATCGAACATTGAAACAACAACAATCTACTACAAACTATTACTTAATTAAAATTCCAAAGAACAGCAACTTCTTTGCTATGCTCTCGCAGGATTGATTTGCCTTGCTATCTCTCCAAGTATCTTTGTATTGGGGTCTTCTGGATGGAAAAGAGCAGCATACAGAGCTATGGCCGTTACTGCGTTTGCTGCTGCGGGAGAGTCACTGTTGGCTAGAGCATTGACTAGATTCCTTGCATTCTCATCTCTAATCTGGTTGTTGGCTTCTGTCTTAGAGTGAAGGTGCACACTAAGATGAAGAAAGTACATAGTAACGAAAGAGATCACCCAAAACTTGAGAGAAGTCTTCACAGAAAGCACAGCCAACAAAGAAGGAAGGCATGTAAATGCCGATAATATTGTCAACTCGCCAAATATTGTAATTGCTGGAAATTTTGGTCGGAGTATTGCATCAGCTATAGAGAAAACAACATACGACATGCTAGAAATTTCCACAATCTCCAGAAGAACCATTTTGAGACCATGTTTTGTGTGTAGAAGCTCTGGGGCATCCACCATGAAGAAGACCATGAGAATGGTGAAAACAGCTGCTGCAAGAGCATTCATCTTGGTGAAGACTATCTCAAACTGGGCATTGGTGTAGTAGTGGCTTGTAAAGCCACCCCACTTCACCACTAACCCAAACATCCTGTGAATAAAGCTCCCCACCCTCGCCATACACCCAGAAAACAAGCTCAACACCCACACCTTAATCCCAGAAATCGACATGTTTGGAAAACAAAGAGAAGAAGAAGATCTGAAAGTTTAAATTTTGCTTTTGGATGTGATGAGATGAGTTAAGAACTATGATGATGAGATGAGTTAAGAACTATGATGATGAGATGAGTTCAGAGTAGTATGTTGCGATCCAGACGCAAGAATTTTTCAGTCATTAATGCAATAAATCTTCTGTAGCAGAAGTGCAGAGTGTCATAGTCAAAGACAGAGAAAGGGAGAGGAATCTTGTCGTCACTTGTTCTTATGAAGTCGATATAAATGATTACAACATTTAAATTTTTAAAAATCACAGCGCCTCGATCTAATTTAAAATTAGTTTCTTTTGATGAAGAAAACACATTCCTTAATCCTTTACATAGAAAAAAAAATTGTGGTTATACACAATAGAGTGATAGACCCTCAACTTTTCTTGATACACAAGTTTCACCTGAACCGGTAAATGCCTCTATGCTAATTTACAAACTCCGCACATTTCATAAATCTCTCTATACCTTTCTCTTTCCTTTCTTTTTCAGAATTTTCTTTCAACAAGTAAGTTTTAAACCAACCCCAAAAACCCAAAAACAGAAAATCTCACAACTTACGTTTTGATTTCTTTCTTTTATATTCATTGGAAAGGGCCTTTAGGTTTGCCGCTTGGGTTGCAAGGCAACAGTCATTGACCGGAGCCGATCAACAATCTCCGTGAAGGATGGTCGTACTCCTGGATCGAACGACCAGCATTGCTCCATCAACTTCCTCCACTCTGTTTCACACCTTTCCGGTACCGGAGGTCTCAACGTATTGTTCACAATTCCACCTTTTTTTACCAAGACAAAATTATATCAAAACCTCAATCCAAGTTCTAACTTTTTGTTCATATAGTGAAGAATTGTTTATGGTAGAAACATACCAATGATGGCACCACAATGCAGATTCGCGTAGGGTTCTTCGCCTGTCAAAATCTCCCACATTGTGATACCAAATGAGAAAACATCAACCTGCAAAGACATGTGAAGATCAATATTTTGTTCTGATATTTACAAAAGTGTTTTGACTTTGGACTCAACAACAACATACTTTCTCTGAGACGCGATTGCTGCTTCCATTTAGCAGCTCTGGTGCCATCCATGGAAGTGTTCCTCTTACTCCACCAGACACAAGCGTGTTTCGTTTTATTCTCGACAATCCAAAATCGCCAACCTGTAGATGAAACAGTGTGAACGTGAGTTTGAATAAAGGCAGTACTATACAGTTTGGATTCTGAGGGAAAAGTAGTTTACCTTGCAAATGGGTCGTTGTGGATCCCTCAAGTTTACAAGCAAGTTATCGCATTTAAGATCAAAATGAACAATATTCTTCATATGTAAATACTCCATGCCAAATGCAGCATCTAGAGTTATCATCATCCTTTTTCGTCTATCAAGCGATCTGTGCAAATATTTTCCATCAGTAAGTAAAATGATGGTGATGTCTCGTTATCTCTGGCAGAAAATCTATGTACCTGTCTTTTCTCTGCAAGACATGTCTCAAAGATCCGTTCACCATATACTCAGTGACTGTTGCCATTGTTCCACCAGGTCCATCTGGTACAACTCCATAAAAGGCCACCACATTTGGATGGTGAAGATTCGCCAATATCCGAGCTTCTCTCCAGAAATCTTTAGTCTGTTTCAACAAACAAAAAAAAGCATTTGATTAAGACATCGGTGAAGCAATTTTGAAATTCCTTTAAGAGTACAAAGAGCTAAACCTGTCTTGCTTGCTCTGATGATCCACCAGAGAAACAGCTGTTCTTTATCCTCTTGATAGCAACATCAGTTCCTCTCCACTTCCCATAGTATACAGTTCCAAATGTACCTGATCCTAGCTCGTGTAAGTCTTCAAGATCAGTGTTCTTGATTATCTGTAAGCCATAGATTCCAGCTTCAATCTCAACCATTGAAGCTTCACTGAATGATTCATCCGTTTTTCTGCTTTTCTTGTACTTGTCCTGCAATATGACAATAGAACAGAGAAATTAGACCCCAAACTGACACACACACACCAGGAAAGCCAGAACGTCTAATATAACAGCACAAAAATGAATTGCGTACCTCTTCATGACCAGCATTTGTAATATTTTCCTCCCTTGTGTAAGATTTGTGTTCATCGTCTGACTCACTATGTACATGAGGGACAACTGTAGCTGATAGGTGAGCATCTGAGGTTACATCGTTTGTCACATCCTCAACATAAAACCTTGGACCAAGCAGATTGCCTCTGAAGAAATCATCCGATTCCTGTGTGTGCATAAAAGCAGCATCTCTACTTCCCACCTTCCTAAGTGGCATTCCGCAATAGTGAAAACTCTCTTCTTTAGGAATAAAGTTCTGAATTTCTGAATCATCATTATTTGTCTCTAAATCCTGCACATAGTTTTTGTTGGTTGAGGAGTACTCTGCTTGATCATTTGACTTGGTTGTATCACACAGTTGATCTGTATCTGAAGTGGGGCTTCTGATGAGGATATCTAGTGACATGTCTTGCTGGAAACCATTTGATTTTTCCCTTGAGCCACCAAGATGATTTTCGTTTGTGTTGACTGATAGAGAGAATACTGAGCTCCCTGAATCTTGTGAGTCACTTGAAGTAACCTGAGCAGCTGGTTGATAATTCGGACTGAAATAACTAGTGTTGTTACTACCACCATGTTTCTTTGACGCCTGATCAAAAGAACCAGGACTATTATTATCACGTTCCATCCAACTATTAGGAACCTCTGTGTTTGGCTCAAGCTTCTTGAAACAGATATCTTCATTGTCTCCCCATTTCGACGTAGCCACAACATGCAGTTTCTTTCTCAGTATTTTCCATGGTTGTCTGGTAAATGCTTCTAAACCATTGTCGATTTGGCTCTCATCATGCAGCTGAGGATCAGAGAGAGCGTTTTTCTTAAGCGTCACTTTCTCAGGCCCGTTGTAAGCTTGACCATGGGGGTCGCTTGGCCTCCGGTCATGAAGAGTCATTTCTGGATGCTTCTGCGTTTGTGTACTAGTCTCAAACAAGAACCTATGTTTCTGTGGGAAGTTTGGAGCAACCATGTAAGGGCGGTTGTTATTGTTGTTGTCAAAGAAACCATTCTGATCAAAATAGTAGGGAATGTCGGTATTTGCTCTCTTGTGAACTGAGAAAGGAGATGATGGAGGAGACTGTTGGCCATATGAGTTACTCGGCGGCATATGCATTTTCGGCATATAATGAACAGCGTTCGTGTTCGCATACGGATTCATGAAGCTTGGACTAGTGTTGCAGTCTTTGTTCTCCCATGTGTGAACAGAAGTAGGCGAGTCTCGGAGGTGAAACGTAGGGCTAAACTCCGAAGCATTCCCAAACTGTGTTGTCTGACTCGTCCCACTTTGGCCACTGGAGCTCTTCTGAGGACTCACATCCACAACACCGTTAAGCGCGGAAACGTACTGGTAATGATCAAGATCCGTCTGCTGCTGGTGTATGTTTCGGTTTATGTTCATATTCCTCTCATTGAAGATCTTGGGAGACTCTGATGACTCATTTGAAGAAACAAGAAAGACCCTTATTCTCTGAGATCCAGCCTTTGTTTCAGCTTCTTGATACTCTTCAATCATATGAAGAAGATCCTCATCTGAGCAAACAGAGATGAGTGCATCAAGATCTTCTCCTGGTAACTGATACTTGATGGTATGTGGATGGTTGCACAAAGCATAAGTCTTTTGCATCAATTCCTTTAGTCCAACATGTTTCCGTATTGAGATAATCCGAGTCTCTCCTCCAATGTATCTCAGCTTCCCATCACCAGGTCTCTGTAAGATCCTTCCCCCAAAACTACAAAGAAGCTTCAATATCTCCGGCAAGTAAACATCTGATGATGTCGCAGTCTTTCTAGGTGAGTCTGCAACATTTGCTTCGGCTAAGTATCCATTAGAGGAAGCGAAACCTTCTGACATGTTGGATTCAACTCTTTGAAGACCAAGAATTCTGTGGAAATCCTCATAAACAAGATGTTGTCGGTTCATATGGTTATTATCAACTTGTGCTCTTCGTTGAGCACCAAAATCCCTCAGAAACTCGTTTGAAAACTCCTCTCCTGTCTGAGAACAGATGTTGTCTTCAAGATCGTTATTACCACAAGCGATTTCTCCATTGATTCTGGGAAACTCCATTCTCATGCTCTCAAGGAACCAAGGAACCAAAAGAGAGGATAAAGACCAAAATGTTTTGTTGTTTCTTCTGCACAAATCTCTTCTTCTTTTAGGCTCCTTGAGGAATTATAGCAAACAGGTTATGGAGATTCATGCCCACAACCAACTTTTCCATCATCAAAATATTGCTACAAGATCATATCATATCAAATCAAACAAAGATCAGAGATTTATCCTCATTCGAATATTTTAGATTTCAAAAACAACCAGAAGCTAAGATTTTTTTCTTTCAATATAATCGATTTCTTTGTTTTTTTATGGAAATGTTGATCACACAAATCAATCGTACATACAGTAGAGTACATATATAAATGCATAATCAACGTTGAGATCATAGATAAGGCTTGAAAAACGAATTGTACAAAAAAATTGAAGCTTGAAATGAATTTAATTACCTGAGAAAATGGCCAAAGACGAAGGAATGAGAAATGAGATTAAAACAATGAAGGTGAAGGATTACAAACAAAAAATGAGATTTTGGGTAAAGGAGAAGAATGTTTCTGGAGATTGGAAAAGAGAAAAAGAGGATTGGAGTTTTTCGAAAGTTGAGGTTTTTGATTTGCGAGAGAGAGAAAGAGAGAGAGAGAGAGACGCAGAGAGCGCTCTCAAAATAAACGCGGGTGGGACAAACTCCAAAAACTAACTCTCTGTCTCGAAATTCTCTTTTATATTTTCTATAAGAAATTTTATAATTATTATTATCTAAAAGATTGCTTTTGATTTTGTTCGTTTCACTTGTACTCTGAAATCATCTGTCTATTAATAAATTATAAATCCGGATTTTATTTTAGTTTTTCCAAATAGTAAATTGCATATGAAGGTTTTGAGAGGAACGTTTTCTCTATCTATTTCTTACTTTTTTTAGTCATTTCTAGAAACTTTATTTACTGATCTCTTAGTTTTGTAACTAAATAAAACAGAATATCCAAAATTAGTTTTTAAGAGAATCGTACACACAAAAAGAAAAGGTAAACCAAAAATTGTATAGGATGTCTTATGAGGAAATCAGAAATCTATACGTGCATGTATGTTTTAAAAATTAAAAAATGGTCAAAAGGTAAACTAAAAAAAAAATCAAAAACATGGTCTATAGTTGCAGACATTATGATGTGCACGTTCACCATTACATACTTTCATCAAATCTTTAATTATGTAGTCATTTGCTCTATTTATTTTTAATAAAAAGACTGTGTACAAGTATAATAACATATCTAATCTCTTAATCAGATTCTATTAAATAGATTAAGAAAAAAAATACTTAATATGTTAATTTTAGAAGAAATAGGCCAATAATCCAAAATTTATACAGCCAAACAAAACAAAACAATAATAGACATTTTAATAGTAAGTTTAACCAACTGACATTGCAACTAGAAGAACCAAATTTTAAGTTTCACTAACAATAGACCGTTTCAAAAGATGAAGCAACAAAACTAAAAACACATTACTCTCTCTCTCTCTGTCTCGAGTCTTAAAATGCATGAGGAGAACAAACAAAGCCAACACGAGACAACATCCAATAAAATAAGTTCAACATCACAGAACTCTAAATGGTTTCTTTTCATCCTTAAACACTCTCAGGATCTGGTTATTACCGGTATGATTCAGGACGTTTCGGTTTGCTCTGTATCACTTGCTCGATCTTCTCCAGAACGTGTGGTGTTAACATTGGGATAACATCAACAGCCTTCATGTTTTCTTGAATCTGTGCAGTTAACCAAAAAGAAAAACATATTTCAAATCTTGATTCAAATCTAGGCTGTGTTCCTTAACGAGGGGTTTAAAAGAACTAACCTGTGCCTCCCTTGTGGCACCAGTGATAACGGATGAGACATTAGGATTTGAAGCACACCACGCGATCGAGAGCTGAGCCAAGGTTACACCCAGCTCATCAGCAATCGGTTTGAGCCCGCTAACTTTCCTCAGAACGTCATCCACAAGTGATCTATTGGCAAGGTTCTGCATAACAATTCAAAACAATTAGATGCAGCAGCAGAGTGAGAGATCTTAACAATTATGACCAAGAACCCAAAAAGAAAAAAAGCATACTTTGTAGTTCTCCAATGCAAATCGGCTGTCTGAAGGAATAGCTCCCTTGTTGTATTTACCAGTGAGGACACCAGATGCGAGTGGGCTCCAAGTGGTGAGACCTATCCCATGGTTTGTGTACAGAGGAAGAAACTCTGACTCAACCTACAAAAACATAACATAACATGAGAGCACAAGACAAGAAAAGACGCCGAAGATGAAAGTAAACTGAAGAGAAAAAGAGTGTTAAGATTACAAACTTTGTGCCTAGCGAACATGTTGTATTCAGGCTGCTCGACGATGGGACCGACCAAATCCAACCTGTCAGCAGCTCCCCAAGCCTCTGTGATCTGTTGAGCTGTCCATTCACTTGTTCCCCAGTAGAATGCCCAACCTTTATCTATCACATAGTTCATTGCCCTCACTGTCTCTTCGATAGGCGTCGAAGAATCCGGCCTGTGACAGATCATATAACCCAATACACAATTAAAAACACAACCTTCATATACATATAAGAAACTAGTGGCATTACGATCAATGAAAAGATGCTCACAATGAAAAATACAAAGATAATCATCAGAAAGTTAGCAAATTGCAGATAGGGAAAGTCAGGGAATCAAACGAAAACCAAGGTAGCTTCAAAATCGTGATGACGCTGATCCAAAGGTATTAATCTACGAATCTCTCAAGCACTAATCTTGTAAGTTTTTTTTTTAAATTGCAATGTTTTCTTCAAGATCCAACACTAAATCCGTACTTGAGAAAAAGGACATGCTAGAAAAAATTAAGCTAAATCTCGAGAATTGAATGCGGAGACAACATAGTACGAAAGAATAATTCAGACAAAACATTTAATTTCTCAGAAAGCCTAACAGTCGAATCATCGATCTTCAAAGGAAAAAAAAAAATGATGAAATGTTTTCACCTGTGGCAATAGAGGACATCGACGTACTCCATATCGAGCCGTTTGAGAGAAGCTTTAGTTCCTTCGACGATATGCTTCCTCGATAAACCCTTATCGTTGGGGCCAGGACCACCCCAGAAGATCTTAGTGGAGACGACGATGTCCGATCTGCGCCAGCCCAGCTCACGAATCGCCTGACCCATAATCTCCTCCGCGCGACCATTGGCGTAAACCTCGGCGTTGTCGAAGAAATTGACTCCGTGATCCCGGCAACACTGAAGAATCGACTTGGCTTCTTTCACATCGAGCTGGTTCCCAAACGTAACCCACGCTCCGAACGAGAGATTGCTCACCTTCAATCCCGATTTCCCCAAGTTCTTGTACTGCATTTTTGCACAAAATCGTTTCAAACCCTCTCGATCTAAATCTCTCTCTCGGAAAGGGAAAGGTCTGATGAGTAGCGATGTGCGACGATCAGACGATAAAGTACTTTATTAACAAGTGATCTGTACTTAGAAAAGAGTACGATAAACTACGACCCGGTTTGGTTTTACTCTTCCGGTTTAACAAAATTGAGTGTAATATATTCACTCAGAATTCCCTAATTCAACAATTCCGGTTATAAAACTTGTACCAAAGTTGGAGAAATTGTTTGCTGATATGGTATTTTCCCAATTCAACATTCGAATAAAGACGTGTGATTTCAAATCTCGTACTTGAGACCAAAACAAATCGAAGATTGTGATCTCGTACGTTTAATTTAAAAGGGGGAAACAAAATCTAAAGAGGAGATTCGTAGGCTCTTGATGGACCAAAGAAAATCACATGTGAGTGACTTTAGTCTAATCTCGATATATCATCCAATTATACTCAGACACGTGTTCTATCTTTTGAAAAAAGTTGCTCATTAATTGAAGTCGAAGAGTTGTGCTGGTATTGGGAGAGCCTTTGCCGTATACGAATATAGAAACAAGTCAGTGTGTCACGTGGAATGCTCAGTCACTCACACTACGCTTACGAATATTTCACTCTCTCTTCGCGTTCACACTGTAACGAATATTCGATTCCATTTCTTTTTCAGTTATATGTTTGGGCTTAATTTATATATTGGCCTTTTAGAGGCCCATTTTTATCTTTATTCTCCATAAGTGTAGTCAGTCGCATCGCATCGCATGAGCTGTTTGTATATGCAAACAAGAAGTTGATATGACAGTGTATATTTTATCAACATCTAAATTCAGATTGAGCTGATAAACGTCAAATCTTTAAATGATGCTTCGGTTATACATATATTTATTATCAATTATATAAACGACATTTTTAATTATCTACCAATTGCACTTATTGTATTCTACGTATTTTGTAGAAGGTCTACTATTTCGCTATTTTACTATGTTACCAAACAAAAGAGATGCATTTGTATTATTATATTAGGGAATGTTAGAAAAGTTAAAGATTTAGTAATAATGTTTTGAGAATCAAGTTTATGATTATGAGTATATATCAGGCAAAACTGCTGAATTTAAATTATATATAAAAAAAATGAGGTTTTGGTAATGAATGAGTTGGAGACATATTGCATTCGATGGCATGTGAGTGTGGGGTTTTGCTTCGTTACCATCTAAAAGAAAATTCCAGTTTTATTGGCCACCAATAAAAAGGCAAATATTAAAAAGTTCGCCAAAATCTCCCACCAAGGGTTGACAATTTGTTCTTCATTTTCTCTGTATCCATTTATTCGTACGTTATCAAATCCTAACTAATCTTTTTTGCTCCCTTTTCTTCCATGTACCCCAATACTAATCATTTTTTTGTTATATATGAGCTTATCTTCTGATATTTTAAAATATTATCTTATTCCAAATGATAATTTACCCTTTAAGATAATTTCATTTTATAATATGCAGAACATGCGATCACGATATATATTTGATAAACAGTATTTGTAAAAAGGTAGCTTTCAAATTTTACTTCTTACATTTCATTTCACCAACAAAATGCGTTGTTAGCTATATTGTGTAATTTTTTTAAATGTATTTTTACATTAGTATTTACATGGTAATGAATCATACATGTGTTATTTTTGTATTTTATATAACCACTACTCATATTTTGTCGTTGAAGGATCCGACTTTAAAGAGTTGATCATCGGTCGACTACTCAAATTGGAGAAGGCAATCAAAGGATTTCATGATATTTTCCACGATATCAGGACAAAGATATGACCATGTACTACAGTATTGCTTTCCATTTTGTTCCACGAAATGACAATGTTTTGTGTAAATTACTCATATAAATCAACATACCGCCTTTGGTTTATTTCAAGAAGGAAATTATTGTGAAAAGGGTGATACGTGTAACAAATTTCAAACTCCCGTGTGCTCTTAATGTACGTAGCCTTATAAAAGCCGACTAACAAAGGTAGAAAATTTCTAGAATGTGCATGTATATTGAATAGTTAAGTTTCATTGCTCAGTACTAGTCAGTAGGAACTATTAAGCATTAAATGCGAATTAAGATATTGTTTCCACAAGTTAGCAACGGTGATGATGTGGAATTAGGTGGATCCCACACTGAGTAGGGAATGCATACACCTTCACCGCATCTGATTGTTGCTTCTGGAATTGACATGTCTCCCCCATCAATATGTTTGTCTAATTGCCTAATTATATTGTCTAAAACGTTAAGGAGAAATTTGTGGGGATTGAATGAATTCAGCTCTCATAATCTCGTTTGATTAGAGAGGCACAGTGAGCTTCCATGTGACACTTTGTCTTCTCTAACACTTTTTAGTCTACCTTTCTCTCTTTCTTTTGTTTTGGTTGAAATTGTACACGTTGTAGTCTTCGACTAACTTCTAAAGAAAACGGTAATATACGGATGGATTTATCTGTCGAAATAAGTACATATATGAGTCATAGCCGAGAAAATACTTAGTCAGTGGCACATAATGTTGATTTCTAATCACTACAAAACCAAACCAATATAATAGAACCAAAAGAATGCGTAACCTCGTAGGATGATAATCTCTCTACAGCTCGTTTACGTTGTCTTTTCTAGACACATTCCTATTTATTTTGTTTTCTTCATGATGTAAATATAATGACACCGCATGGTTTAGAACAATTTAACTTGATACGTCTCTATCAAACTTAACTTTGCAATGACACGTTAAAGATGATACATATGAACATTACAGAAGAGCCTTTCTAGCGTACGTCCATTAATCTGGAGGATATAATCTTTGTTTTCTTTCTTGTATACAAATTTTGTCACATAGTTTACCAAAAACAAAAAAAAAAACAAAAAATTCAAAAATCAAAAACATAAGATAACAAAACACAAACAAACGACGTCTCTTCGTAGCACAAACGACGACATCCAAGTCCCAACTATTCGATATTTTTGTAACGTTTGGGATTGTCGGTGCTCCGGCTAATATAGTAAGTTCCTTTTGTTAACGGCATTAATATGGTAAGTCAGTGACAAACGACAAATACAAATAATCCGAATTTTCACTATATATAGGTACCTGAAATGTATTTACAAAGTTAATACATTTATGGTATTGGATCATGAAGATTGGCGTCTCCGAACACTAATTAGAAAAGTTGTATATGCACGGATACTAATCGTCAACATCATCAAGGAAAGTCACATGATTTTATCGAATTTATAACTTTTGGCTGATTATAAATAGTAAACACATGTGATGGAATTTTGCCGGTTTAATGGTTAATGACAAAATGAATTACAGAAACAGACAATGGGTTCTTGCTGTTTTTCACGTTGGTGAGAAAAAGGAAGAAAAATAAAATGGATTAAAGAGAGAGAGAAAAAAACGACAAGTAAAAAAGAAGTGATCGGGAACCAATTTGACCCGCGAGTTTTGGCGTAACCAAACATTTCGCACCAACAAGATCTTCTGTTTATTATAGCTTTTTTGGCACTTTTACAAAAGTAATTTGAGCCATAAAAGTGTAACGAAAAAAAGTTTCAATAATTACCAGTTACCACCAATCCAACCTCCCCCATGATGAACACACATGGAACACATCATATATATGCACATATATATGAATATAAATTATCAAATTAATTGTACGTCACTGTTTTGTGCATTTATATGTATGATATTTACTATATTTATTAATAAAATATACAATGTTTTTTTGAAAAGAACAAACAAAATATCAGTTGACAAAAGTAAAGTTATTGCTTGGAGATAAGATTCCTCTCTAACGAAAAGTACATTTTGGAAAATTCTAATTTATTCATACATGTCTAGTGTATGTAGCAACAAAAAATGCGAAAGCGTGGGATTGATCTAAACGTTTATGGGGTTGAATCTTAATGAAAAAAAAAAACGTATCGAATAACTATTAAATTACCGTCGAAGAGAAATGGAACCCCACGGAGTTAGAGTGGGATGAGAGACTTGGACCCATGGATGAGGGCAGTCGTAAAGATACTCACAATACTCTTACCGTCTTACGTTTGAAGCTCCACTGGGTAGCAGATTTGACTTTAACGTCGTGCAGTTTTAAAAATGATCATAGGATTGGGATATGATATCATTAATACGTCCGAGTTATAATAGTAAGGTTGAAACTCATGAGGGTAAGTTGGTAAAAGTGGAATTAGGAAAAGCGTGAAAATTACTTGACATTATGATGAGAGGAGTCTGGGTTGTTGCATGGGAACATTATTCGTGCTCCCTTAAAGGTAAATAAAACCACATTTTAATCATTGGAGATTTTACATGAAAGAAAACTTAACATAACGAGGGAAATCATTTTAAGTTAAGAATGAAGGCTTTTTAAATTATCGCAGCGTACACGACTATTTTTTACTCGATGAAATGCTTCTTTTTATACGAAAAAATAATAACCTGAAACTAATAATCATACAAATGGTTCATTATCACTATTATAGACTAATTCACTTATCAATTTTTACTACCAATGCAAATTCTGGTCCAATACAAATTGTAGTTTTCGATACAGAAAATTCTTTCAGAATGTACAATTATGGATTAGAGAAATGCTGGTCCACGTTTTTGTTTGGTTTTGGATCTTTTTTGTTTTCTTGTGAAAATACAAGAAAAACGAATAATGATCAAAATTTGTGTGGCTTAATTTAGTACGGACCTATCTGGTTGAAATTCGTTTTCAATCAAAATTTATCTTTAACTAAAAGAATTCGTTTATTATGTTTTATTGATTTATTTCAGTCTAGTCTGGTTTGGAATATGGTTTGCTACTTTGCTCGATTAGTTTTTCAATTTTCTGTTAATTCGTTTTCACAATACATTTTACATTCTGCTTTAATGGATCGATTTGACCAAATTTATTGAGCGCCTGAGTTATACAACGAATTTGATAGTGAG